AGTTGTTTTCTTAAGCTCGTTTTTTTTCCTCATTTCTCTTCTTCGACCATTTTGGGTTGTTCTTTTTGTTTGAAGACAGAATCAGTCCGTCCTTTATGTTAAGCGACTAATGGCCATGTGTCTCCGTTTAATGTTGGATTCCTCGGTTTAAGACCTTCTAAATGTTCTTTAAACTTAACTCTGTTTCAGCAGCTGCTTATATTTTGTCTCTTTCGGGTCCTTTTTTTATGTCTTCATATTTCAGAATGATGCTGAATTATGTTTTACAAACGAAAGTTTATCAATCCAGCCTTGAATATTTAATAGTCGTTTTTGATGTGAACATTAGTTTGTAATATAAACAAAACAAAAATGGTTTATCTAATTTCGATTTGATTGCCACAAAATATTGTGAATTCGGAATGGATGGGAATAAAATCGTTAGAAGATGTCTATCAAGTCCAAATGTGTATGTCAAAATGTTTTGTTTAACTAATATAACATGTGACCAAAATGAACAGAAAGGTTTCGTGGTGTAGTTGGTTATCACGTCAGTCTAACACACTGAAGGTGTCCGGTTCGAACCCGGGCGAAGCCATTTTTTTATTTTAATTTATAAAATATTTAAATTGTCAGAACAAAAAAATTGCGCCGCTGCCGGGGATCGAACCCGGGTCACCCGCGTGACAAGCGGGAATACTTACCACTATACTACAACGACTTTACCATTTAGAACAATTCAATATAACAGTAGTCCACTTGCATACAGTTTTGTAGCAAACAAAAAAAATACAATTTCCATATTTTAAAAAAAAATTCTAGATGGCTAAAATATTTTAGTCTTTGGAAATTCATATTAAAGTATAAAGGAAATTACTGTTGCCTTTATAACAGCGCTAATACATGCTTGTTTCTAAAAGACACTAATCCAAACATATATACAGTTCATTTTAACTAAGAAGTCTATAATATATGGAAACATGTTGTTTCGGGATGATAGTATTGTGGTAATACATATGAAAGAAAACTATTAGCATTAGCAACAATGTTGTAAAATGTGATCAAGAGCAGTCGCAAAAACTCGCAAAGCCACAAGACCTTGAGCGGCTGGTGAAAGTTTTACAATGAATTTTGATAGATAACAATATAGCATGAAGTGAAACAAGTTTTAGAATCCCAAATTTTGAAATTCTATTTTTTTTTTTTCCTATAAAACTCAAAGCTAAGAACTGAAATAATTTATCTAAGACTAGTCGTCTAACGAAAGATCATTTCTTTCTCAAACACAAAAATAACACAAGATGTGGTCATATTTATAGATAATTTTTAGGGACATAAACTCGAATGTAGGTGGCAATAAAAAAGGAACACAAACGGAAAACAAGCTTAGTATTCAGAAAGAAACAGAAGGGCACACAACATGATGAGCTTATACTTAGGGGCAAGCAGTGATAAGCTTTGCCCTTGATGTTTTATTTGGAAGTAAAAGAAACTTGAACATAAACATATACACACATATGTAATGTCCTCACACAAAAGTTACACACTTGGAAATTTTTATACGAGGTTATTCAAACCTCAAGACGAGCCATAGCAATGGCAGTGAGGCACGCCTCCCTCAAGTTCAACACGTCCAGCACAGACTGGAGGATTCCCAAATTTGGCTTCACAACAAGCTTTGCAATCAGCATTTGAACCTGTGAATGGCACTGATCCGCACTCGCCTAAGAACGCGAAGCATGCAGCATCGCTCTTCAAGATTTCTACATGTTGTCATATTCATCAAGTTCATCAACACAAGATAATATAAATAAACATGCAACTGCAAAGTATTGTATAATAAATAACTTGGTTAAATGCAATACCGGTGGAAGCCATCAAGAGGACAACGAAGAGGATGGTGAAGCTAACGGAGTTGATGTTCTTTGCCATTTCTTTTGTTTTTGCTCTTTCTGAAACTTGTATTTTTTTCTTTCTTAATAAACTCAAGTTTGATGATACAAATCCATGAGGGTGGTGATCTATTTATAGTCAAAATTTTGTAACTTTGTTATAATTGTTTTATCCCATTTCTTTTCTTTCAAGGTATTCCCAAGTTCATAATGTCGCCACAATTGTGCATCGCCGTCTTTTTCATTCCATTTTATAATCCAAGCCGTTTCTTTTTTTTAATCGTGACTTGTCTTAAATAATCGACCAAAACGAAGGTCGTCGTTCCAACTCAATTTTATATATCCATTTTTTCTTTAGTTTGAAATAACTATTGTTTAAAAATGATAATGTTGTTGTCATCTATAGAGTAAGCACGAATCTTGGAGAATTTTTAATCCGATGATGAAAACGATTTGGCTTAATTAGTTCAATAAACGTTAGGGTTTTCATCGACATTGCAGCAATCATGGCGACACTATCGGTTCTTTTGAGCATCTCGTATGCGTAACTTCTTTGCATGTCAAATCGAAATAAAAGATGGAATTACTAATCTCATGGGGCTTCTGGCTTCATATTTGCTACAAAAATCTCTGCCTATTATATCTAAGTTTCACCCTAACATTATTTTCTTTGGCAATGTAACTAATAATCTGCTATTTTAGATTTTTTGTATATACAAAAAAACACTTCTATGCATGTGAATATTCATTTTTATCATACTTAAATGAAGATTCACATAATAAACACCTCTATGCATGTAGGTATTCTATAGCAATTTTCCATAAAATGAGCCAAAAATGGTGATTCTACAGTTTTTTACGGTTTTTTTAATTTTTCCAAAGGAAAGCCAATCCGGAAACGATGAAGATACATGGGAGTCTCGTGTTGCGGTTCCCGTTCCACACATCAACAATGGTTGTTCGACGGGATATACTTAGTTATGATTAATGCACCATTGAAACCATTGAGATCGACGACTAACCCTATTAATTGGTCCAGAAAAGTGTGCTTTTCTCATTTCCTATTTGCCTTTTGATGAGAGTAAAGATTTGCCTTTTGATGAGAGTAAAGATTAGAGTCTCCTCTTTAGAGGTTGATCTAAGTTCTAAGGGAATGACTTCCCGTTTGTTAAATTGCCATAAAACTTCCTACCTTAGGTATAGTTTCCTCTACACCAAGCAAACCAAATAGTCCGTTTCCGAAAACATTTCATTTGTAACAAGTTTTCGAATCTCCTTAAACAATTTTTCTTGGATAAGTTTTGAGATTGACGATTGTCATGTAATTTTTTGTTTCGAGAAACAAGTTGTTTCTTTTGCCAACGTTTTATTTCCTTTTTTCTCATAAATTTAATCTTCCGTCTTTTGATATTTGTTTGTTCCCTGTAAAAGAGCTCTTTTTAAATTCTCCACACATAAGTTGATGAGCTAGCTAATCATTAATGGTGGTTATTGCCCTTTTCAAAACTTTGTAAAGATATATGGGCTATATTTGGAAACCCTTAATTAGATGACACAAAAAAAAAGTGGTAAGAAAGAGCATGCATGATGAATAATACGACTATATGCCATACACATATTACAACAAACACTGCATTAGCTATTGAAATGCAGTGAACACATGAATTATAAAGGAAATTGTTGCTTTATACTTTAACTTGACAAAGACTAAATAATTGTTAATGCAGTGTTTGTTGCTGTCTTTACGCTAAGACTGTAAGACATGCTTATTTTTTAAAAAGACACTAATCCAAACATAGTTCATTTTAATATATGGAAACATGTTGTTTCGGGATTATAGGAGTGTGAATGTGTGATAAATACATACGAAAAAGGATTATTAGCAAAAATATGATCAAGATCAGTCACAAAAACTCGTAAAACCACAAGACCTTGAGGCTTGAGCAGCTAAGTTTTACAAGAATTTTGGTATTACAAGATGTAGAAAGCCACAAATTGGAATTTTTTTTGTTGTTTTTCAATAAAAATCAAAGGTTAAGAACTGAAATAATTTGTCTAAGACAAGTATAGACTAATCTCTAATGAATGGACA